CAGGAATCAATAGGGGATCTGGTACAGAAATTCAATAGACTAGTCTAACCTAAATGAATTAAATCTGATTCCTCATCAGTCCAGGCCCCCCTCAGTCCAGGATCTTTCATTTTTAAACTAATGTAAGTGCCCTGAACTGTTCTGTTATGGGTGTAGACCAGTTTTTGGTCACTTACACCAGTTTATGTGTAATATCTGTATGTGAAAGGAAATAATGGAAGCTCACAGCTCCAAAGATATCTGGGCATTGGACTCTTTGACTGAGAAATGTTTTCACACCATAACTAAAGAAGGTATTCCTTAACTCAGGAAGCTATATGGAAAAATAATATTGCCATACAGCTGATATCATTTAATTCCCTAAATTCTGATATGTGTCTCCTTTTGAGGTTTGTTTTTTGGTCAGGGCCACAGCCCAATGTTTATGTTGCAGTTTTCATGTTAAACGTCTGCCTGTATATCAGGTTTTTGTTGAAAACAGAAAACTTATTTTGTACCTGCTTCTTATCTGAAGTTTAAGGCATGTTTCTAGAAAGTAAGAGTACATTAATATACCTGTGTGTGAGAAATTGTTCTTCCTATTTATGGGATTGACAAGCTTTTCCTTTCCAGTGTTTCGGGTATTTATCTTAGCCCTTTTCTCAATATATCTGAGCAATTCACAGGCTTTCATGTATTTATCAGCATTCCTGTAGTGCAACTGGCCCTGTTTTACAGATGAGGATTTGAGGCACACAGAGATGAAGATTTACATCTACACTGAAATGCCTGACTTTAGGGTTCCCAGCCAACCAGCTATAGTATAAACCTGTATGCTTAACCCCCGAGCAGCAATGTTACAGTTCCCTATTCTTGACTTCTGGTTCTTCTGCTTCTTCCATCCTCTCTTTACTGCCTGTGAGTAGAGACAAGCCTGAAGGAAATACAAGGCATTTGTAGACCACCTCCTAGAAGGGCTCTGCTTCACAAATCAGAACCACAAAGTGGACATCTTTGGTGTGGTCTGTGAAGTAGGAAGGCCAGCTCAAGCAGCTTGAGCTGGCTGAGGTTGACTTCAAGGTAGACTCTAAATATCAATATAGATTCTTCCTTAGTGATGTGTCGTTTCTCTCTAAAGAAGGTGTTGAGGTGCCTATAGAATGCCAATGCGTATGACACTGATTCTTGCACTATCTTTGCTTTTAGTCCTTGTACAAGGAAACTATCAGTGCCTTGAGAGGAATGCTGGAGGGTCTGGTATTAGAATATCCCAGTGATGTCCAGAAGATTTTGGAGGTAAGAAGTGGAGAGTACAAGACTGAAAAAGAAGTTTACAGCAGAGGGTTTGAATCTCATGGTTCCTCTATGCCCTCAAAGTTCAAGTCTAAATTAAGACATTCTGGGGTTCTAGGCATATCACAAACTGCTGACCCTTCCTCTAGCCCTATGGCTGTGCCCCTGCACTTTGGCCATGTCCTTGTTCATCAAAGCCCCAGTCTACCAGGGGACAATGATATGTGTACTCTCAGCATCAACAACAGTGCCATGCACTTGAGATGTAAAAATGCCCTCTCAGTTAGGAATGGTAGTAAAGAGGCTCCTAGGTCTTTACCTTCAGCAGTTCAGGAATGAGTGATCTGGGCCCAACTGCACTCTTCTTCTTCCATGTAGAGACCTCTGCTGGATTTGTTTTGGCAGGATGGTTGTGTTATCTTAGCATTAGCACCCCATATGATGTAAAAGACAGTTCATACCTCTCAATGTTTCCTGCCGTCTGCAGGCTGAGGCAGGTGCTTCTATACTATTTATGCTCCGGCTACGTTTTCAAATAGCAATGGCTAGAAATTACTTTTTTAAAATGAAATCTGAGATTCTGCTGTCATCACATTTCTTCCAGAACTGGGACCCTAGTCATGTCATCTTGATTCAGTCTTCAATAAGCCTCACCATAGTCCCCATTGTCAGCGATTGTATATTAGAAGGGGCTTCATTTTATATAGAACTGCTTCTTCGTGGCACTGAAAAAAGTCTAATCAGGAAAAACTGTCACCCAAGGGGCTGAATTTCAGCATCTCCCTAGACTAGTAAGGGAAGAGATGGGAATCCTGCATGTTATCACTCTTGTTTGGAAGGATAAAATCAAACTTCACTTTGGACCTGCCAAAACCGGATCTTATTATTTTAGGTTCAAGAGGAGGGAATAAGTTGCCTTTGACACTGAAGATTGTTACACCTTCAGAGGAATTGTTTGAGAATAGATTCCTTAAAAACACAGGAGACAGCACAGAGGCAAAAAACCCATAGTCTTTACTCATATAAAGAGGAGTATTCTGAATAATATTCCAGTCTTAAAAAGCAGCAAATACCTCTGTATCTGATCTAATATCAGACAAAAGTTAGTATAAAATAAAGTAGTTTCCTGGGTGGAGCACTTGCCTGAGACTGAAGAGACCTGGGGTTCAAGCCCTGATTCTACCTCTGGCCTATTGGGTGATCTTGGGCAAGTTGTTTTTTCTCCCTGGGCCTGAATTTTCCACTCTGTAAAATGGCAATAATGAGGCTGGCTTCCCATGTGAAATGCTGCATGCATTCTAAAGGTGAGAAGTGCTAGGTGAGAGAGATGCATTGCTGTTAGTGGCATTACCCTCATTTACACCCACTGAGGATTGTGCCCACTATATTTTCACTGGGGTTTATTTGGTGAACAGCGGTCTCCTTTGTTTTCCCCTTAGTACATAGAGCCCTGGCTATCCTCCAGAAAGGATCATGAGCGGGAACGGGCAATGTGGTGCAGCGCCCGGCTCCTGAGGTGTGTCGCCAAGCTTCCTAATTTTGATGTGAGTAACCTTCACCTCTGCTGACCCAACTCCATAGATCCTGGCCCAGAAAAACAACCTACTACTTGCAAAAAAGCAAGCAAAATGTAGGAACTCATATTACATCCATTGGGGTTAATAGGAGTTTAGCCATTCATTCATTTCAACAGAGATCACATTTGTCTGACAAACAAACTTGAAATCTTTATTGGCATTGGCTGCCTAAATTTCTCCTTTGAAAAGTTATTCCCTTAAATCCCTTTCCCAGTGTGATGTCATTGCAAAGTCAACGCAAATAGCACAAGTTTTTCAAAGCTTCACTGGGCAAGAAAAACAATTCTTTCTTCCTGAAGTGTTGTGCTGACCCTTTGCATCTTGCAGTAATATTTACTTTACGACTGAATCCCTTACAAAATTGTTTGTTGCTGTGCATAATTTTCCACAATGTGTTCATATGCTGTAAGTAAGCTGAATGAATCCATAACTAAAGGGAGTTCTCTCTGATTATGAAAGCTTTGAGATAAAAGTAAAACTGTAAGTATCATTGAATTAAATAAAACAGTATAGTAATAGCAAATGCTTAAGAGACAGAACATTTTTAGATGAGTTTCTGCACACAACTTTAAAGGTGGCTCTAAATCTGCATTCATCTCTGTGAATCCACCAAAACACACTTTGCATTAAGAAGACATCTGGGGTGCTTATACACGTACTTGGGGGTGGGGACGTTTTAATTGCAGTGGTTCCCCAATAGCCGCTCTAATTAAAATGGCTCACTGTCACATGTATTAAGCCCCCAGCATTTTAAAATGGCCGTCGGGGCACTTTAAAGCACCCCCACAGCCGTTTTAAAACACAGGGGGTTTAATACATGTGACGGTGAGGCAAAACTGGAACATTCCAATGACAGCCCTTCTCTAGTTTTCCAACCCAAAACCTCACCTAATTTTGCATGTGTACAAAAAATGCTGCAAAGTTGGGGTCTGAGCTTTCTCAGAATTTAAAGGGTGCTGGTCTTTGGTTGTAACCAATAATCTTTAAATACTTCCAACTAGGGCTGTGTAAATAATTGATTTTTTGTTGTTGCTGTGTAGCCTAACATAAAATCAAAAGAATCTTATCAGGCAAAACTGAATCACAAAATTTAAAGTTTTTCATTCTTTTTGCTGAAATGCAAAAAAAATAGTTTGTTTTGCTTGATATGAGGCCAACTCCTATTCCGCCTATCATTTTTGTCATCTCATAGCTGTGTGACCCAGCATCTAGAAACAGGTTTCATATACCATTTTACCTTGTCCAGTGTATGCAAATTAGCTCCTGGTCACATAGAACTGCACTAAGTACATAGAATTGTACTAAGGCACAATTTTCAATTGTAGTCAATAAGAACAATTTTCAAAACTAGCGGACCTGGTGTAGCCTGGCTAATTCTCTTGGTCTGCACCAGATGTAGAAAAGGGACTTTAAACAGCCATAGATGGATACCTGGAAACTCCTCTGGTGTGAACAAATTAATGAGGGGTGTAAGGCTCTTTATGGCGACCTGTAAACTGCTCTCTCCGATTCCTACTGTGTACCTCAGCAGGGATATCCAACTTCTGAATGGCGGGGGGGGGCTACATGCCATGTGGACAGCTTGGTATTCATGCTTTCTCTTCTTCCTCCCCATCTCCCTGCACAGGGCACCTCCCCTACCCAAAGACTCCAGAGCTCCCCCCTTGTCTGCTGCAAACACAGGATGGGTCCCTTGGCTGTGAGCAGTGTAATCTTCCTCCTGGCTGCACACACAGCATGGGTAATCTGGCCCCTCTTGCTTGCAGGCAGCCCAGCTCTCCTCCTGCTGTGCACACAGTGCCCTCCTGCACCCCACACCACCCCTCCGAAACAGGAGCAGGAACCAGATATCAGAGGAAGGAGTGGGAGACTGGATATCTGGCTGCCACAGCAGAGCCTGGGCTTTATGTTAACTCCTCACAAGCCACCAGTTGGACACCTCTGCTCCACAACATAAATTGTTAGTTGGGGTTCGCTGCTCCAGTAACTCCCAGAGGTGAAAGAGTCCAAAGTCTGTTATTAATTTCCCAGCTATACTCATAGTGGGCATGTACACACTACCTTTGCATAAAGAGTAATGGCAAAGGGCAGAGCAGAAGAGAATAGACCTATAACTGTGTGGATGAAGAACCCTTCATATAATATGACCTGCTTCACTGTTGGAGTCATTTGGCTTATTTTAAATTTTGTGACCATTTGAACCTGAGGCTTTGAAAATACTCAGGTTTTCAATGGAATAACAGCTTCCAATCTGTGTGTGTGTGTGTGTGTGTGTGTGTGGCAGTCCATCTCCATACCCTCACTGTGGGCATGCTAAAAGCTGCAAGGTGCCAGTGTGCACACAGTGGCTTGCACACATGCACCCTCATCATATTATATATGATTAATTGGCTTCTTCTCTTTCTAATTAGGCATCAATTGAATTCAGCAGATTAGGCCGTTTGGTTAGACTGCTGGCACTTCGATGCCATGACCCAGTGGACAACATCTGCTTCTTGGCAGCCCGAGCTGTATACAACTTGTATTGTATCCTGCTGGTTAAAAAACGTCAGTAGACCTCAGTTCTCTCCATAACACCAGGAAGTGACAGCTTCTTGGGTTAACCTATGTGCTTTGTTGTTAATAATTGTTATTATTTATGATTTTTGTGGTAACCTTTATATGTAGTTATAGACCACAGCCCCATTGTCCTAGGGTACTAGACACTATACAAGCACAGAACAAAGGACACTTTCTGGCCAAAGAGCTTACAGTGTAAGTCAAGAGCTACAGAGAAAGGAGTGCAAAGAAAAACTAAGACAATATTAAATAGCATGGTAGGCAGGAGTATCACTGCAACCACTATCCACTTTTTTGCTGGCCTCTCAGCACAAAAGGGTTTTAAGGAAGGGTTTGAGGTACCTCTGCAGCTATTATTTACAGAGGTACATCTGTAGCTGCTCCTAGGCATGAGGGGCAACACCTAATTTAGTGCAAAAGTGCATTTTGGAAAGCCCAAAAAGTGTTTCATGGAGGCTGTCACAGCAGGCTGATGGAGGAATGAGACAGATGTGAAGCAGACAGGTAGACCTGTGGGTTATCAGCCTGATCCTAGGAGGGGAAATGCTACAGATCAGGAAGGTCTCCAAAGGAGAAGGCAGCTGCAGTATCAGCGTCAGATGTAGGGACCCTGAGCTCTGTAAGAGCCAGCACCTGGAGGGAGTACAGTATGAAGGAATTGTAGATACTTTTATAGGGACAACAGGAGAAGAAAAGAGAGAATGAGTAGGAAGAGTGGCAGGAGAGGGGTAGAGGTAGGGAGAGATGGTCAAGGTTGGGGCAAATGTCACCAAATATGAGGAGATGTCAGAGGAAGAGGTAAATATGAGATCTAGATTTGTGATGATGGGAAGATGGAGAAAATGGGATGGAGAGGTGAGGAGGAGCAGACTGAGCTGGTGGTAAGTGTATACACAGGGAGGGAAACAAGGGCAGGGGATTGGAACAGGGGAAGGGAGAAGAAAAAAGAAGAAGAGATGTTATGACACAGAAGAGCAGCCTGTTGACATCTGTGGATGAGTGGCAGATCAACAAGATTATCAACAAAATTTACATATACTGTGAAAATATTTTGCAGCTCTCCGTTGGGTACCTGAAGTGGGAAGGGGAAGAAATAATGATTGAACATTTAATTGTTATATAAATACCATAAATGAGAAGACTAAGGGAGGGTATGAGATTTATGTCATCAATAGCTTCTATTTGATGTCCCAGTATGATATGTATTTATACTATATCCTAGTACTGCAAAATCCAGAAGGTAGTGAAACAGACCATTTTCACTATTGAGGCTCAGTGTAAGGTCATGTCTTTATTGCTTTATTTCCTGTATAGACAAAAAGAAGAAGACGTGGTTCCCTGTCCAAATAAGCTTATCAGTTCTTGATTAGAGCTTCTGGGCTTGGGAGTTTTATGGAAATAAACGCATGTTTCTCACAGAAAGAGAGAGGGAGGAGCAAACAGAGTCAGCAGGAGACAGGAAAATAAAGTCTAGCACATATAGTAGTTTATAAAATGTCTAGCACTAAGGCAGTGTTTGAAAAAGAGAAGTACATGTCACCCTGGGAGAGGAAAAGAGTAGCTAAGGGAAAAGGCAAAGACAGGCCTCTCAATTATTCTACAGAATTTCATCTTTTTTTTCAAAACAAAAAAAAGCAAATCTCTGGCTTTATGACATCAATACAAACACTTGACCACAAGAAACAAGTATTATCAGTGCAGAGATACACATTTGATCTTGCAAAGGCCCTGAAGCAACAACTCTGAGCTATGAACTGTACCATGCATTTCAGGGCGTACCATTTGGATGCTAATAATGGTACTTTAAGTGGTATAACCCAGTAAATGTTTCAGTACACTTCTACATGTGCCAGGAGAGCAAGTATACTTTAAAAATCTCCGCAAGCAAAATGCTCTGAGTGACTGCTCTGGTTGGGGAAGTCTTTCCATATATTTCCTCTGAAGGGTATCATGATTGGTTTAATTCTTCTGAATTAGAATGGGGCAATCTCAGTTTTCCAAGATTTGGGAAAGAATCTTGAAGTAGCAGCAGCTCAGAATGAAGCCAGTTTTCAAAGACTCTTATGAGTTCAGTGAATAGTATTGATAGACTGTATAAGAAAACAGAGCTTGTGCCATATTCACGACACACCATTATACTAGATTGTGAACCTAAAACTTAATTTAAAGAGCGACTATAGTTCAGAGATTGCAACAAGGAGAGAAAGGAACAGGTCACTCACTTGTAAAATGAAAACTTGTACAAATACATGTTTCTTGTTTCAGAGCTTGACAAGGGACATACAGCAGAAAAGTTATATGCATACAAAAATCTTGGTACCTACAGTCCCTCTGTATTCTATAACAACACCTCTCAGATTGCTAAGGTAATTCGTAGATACCACTGAACAAACAAAATGTTGTTGCATCTGAGTACTGTAGAGTTGTTGTTGATCACAGTTCTGTAGTGAAGGATGCACCTCGATATTGTTATAAACCCTAATTTAATATGAACTTAACTTTGGCTAGGAAAATGTACTGGTTAACATCATTTCACATTTGCAGTAAAGACCATGGAGCTTTTTTTGCATATTTGGCTAAGTCTTCTTCCAACCGGCTCAAGTTAAAAATTTGCCTGATTTTAGAACTTCATAAAGCTGTGACAAGCATTATGGGAGTGGCTATTTGAAAATTTCCCACTGGTATTGTTAACTGACTGAAAAAATAGGTTTTCCAGTAAAAAAAATTCCTAAAACAAAAGCTTTATTTGGCTACAAACCAAAATAGTGTTGGTTTGGAAATACCCTGTGGGATTGTAGTTTGATTTCTTCATGCCCCATTCTTCTTCATGGACCAAGATACCCCCTCTTGGACTAAATCTCCCCCGAGACATAAAACAATTAAATCATAATCATGCGTAGTACAGAGTCAGAACAAGGTGAAGCTTTGGTTGATCCCGAAAGATATCATCCAGCCACATATCCCAGTCCAAAAGCAGTCTAGAGGTAGGAGTCTCCTAAATAATAGCTCTTATGCATGAAGCTATGGCAAGACAGGTGGATGCTAAGACAAAGCATTTGATAGAGTACCACTAAACAGAGAAATCTTCTGATTCAGAAATATCAAAACCTGTCATTTAACTGAAAATATTAAAATCAGATGTTCCAAAATTTCAAAATTAGATTTTTTGGCTGAGAACTTTCATATTTGGGACAAAAATTTTCAGTGGGTTTTTTTGTATAGTTTTGATTAGTTGAATTTTTCCAAGGAAAAATTTCAGCAAGTTTTAATGATATGTTCCATTTTCAGATTCTTATGACTTTATACAGAAAAAAATACTTTAAACCAGCAAAAAACAACCTTTTAAAGCAGCCAGCCAGAAAAACCTGGCTGGCCACTCCTGCTGCTTCTCTTCAGCTCCCAGTCATGGCATGGGCAAAGATCTGGCCCTTCCACAATGTTGGCAAGGCTCCCCAGTGCTGCAGCACTGCCAAAGCCCCTTGGCTTCACAGATGTGGCCTGTGGGCTGTAAGTTGTTGACCCTTGCTTTAAACTAAAAAAAAAAATAAAAAAAAGTTTGAATCTGTTCAGAATAAGGATCAAAAGGAAAGATGATTTTGTGGTTTATGGCACTGGCGTGGAACCCCAGAGACAATAGCGAGGTCTGTCATAGCATTCTGATCATGGCCAAGTCCCTTGGCAATCACTGTGGGTGCCGCTACACATGCAGTTAAGGTGGCCAAACTGCTCCCGGGCACAGTGTCTATATGCGCTCCTAGGACAACAGCACTTTGAGCTGGGGCAAAGCATGCCCAGACTGGCAGGGAGCACAGGAGGTCAGCCCTGGGCTCTGAGTGGCAGTGTCAGGCGGCAGAGGGGCTGGCTGGGGCACAAGGGTTCAGAACCTGCGAAGCCATGTGGCTAGGTGGCAGGGAGGAGTGTGGTCCTGCCCAGTCACTGTCTACGTGTGTGTTTCAGCACAGTTAAGTACTCTGCTGTAAGATAGTACTGTCCCTGCCAGTACTATCCTATGGTGGAGTTTATTCATTTACTGCACCCTAATACCAGTGAACATGCAGACTGTGACACTTTAGTGTGGATCTAATTAGTCACTCCACAATAAAACTCCCATGTAGATGCATCCTGTGTCACTCAGTTGCAAACTGGGAATAGTACCTCCCTACCTCACAGAAGTGTGAGAATGCATTATTTAGCATTTGCGGGTACTGTGGGAATTAGGGCTAGGTCTTTGAAGGTTTAGAGTGAGTTTATTAAAATTGTTTTGCAGAGTATATAAGTTATTTTTTTTATAGAGGTGATTCCCATTGGCATTTAATTCAATCTAACTTTTAGAGGGTTCTGTAACAAAGGAAAGAAACGTTTGATTTTAATATTTCATACTGTATATTCCAGGAGTGCTCAACCTCTGGCTTGCCCATGGTGTCATGGCATCTGGCCCATGGGGCTCCCTGTGGGTCCAGAGATTTGGCAGCAGGGGAACAGCGGCACCACTCCGTCGCTGCCAAATCTCTGGACCCACAGGGAACCCCATTCCCCTGTGCTGGACCTGACACCCAATCCCAGCAGACAGGGCCAGGTGGGGGCATTGTCAGGCCCCAGGACCCAGTCTTGGAGGGGCAGGGGGGCTGGAAGGGGGTGGTGCTACAGCTCTGGGACCCAATCTTGGTGTGCAGGGAGGGGGAGGGAGCAGTGCCAGGCCCCCAGGGCCTGATTTTGCCCACAGATGGGCCCCACACCATATGTCTGGCTCACAAGGCCAAAAGATCGAGGACCACCCATTAAAAATCTAGTATGTATATTAATTTAAATTAGCGTAGAAAGATGCTCTTACAGAACCTGCCTGTGCCTTGGTAGATGCGTACATTATAATTGGTATGGTTACAGGACACGAAGCAATAGGAAGGATGCTGGAAGCTCTATGAGGCTTCTAAGTAGAGCAGGTTGAAACTAGGGAACTAGGAATACAGAAAACGTGAGCTGTATTGAAGATGTGTTCCTTTCCTATGCCTCTTGATAAAGAAAGGACTTAAAATATAACCAATTCTTGTACGCTTTAGATTAAAGCTGTTACTTAATGCAACTGAACGAAGAATTTTCAGTTATAAAAATCAAAGTACTTTAAGGGATAATAGATATTCACCCATCCTCAGAATGAATACAATTTCTTTGTTCTCTGCTTCCCTACCTTTCCAATACTGAATTGTCTCCAGGTTTTGTTCAAATTGATAATATGCGTTTAGATGACAGCAGGTATTCTGCCCCCATGACATGGTCTTTTGTATTCTCTTTAGGCCTTTGCAGAATATTTTACCCCTCGTCAGTTAACAAATCTGGTTCTGACAGCACTTGATGGTTTGACAGATCCCAGGGAAAAAATATCTCGGGCAGCTGGAGAACTGCTGAGTGCAATTTTGGATGAGCGTGGAGCTGATTTGGAGAAGGTAAGAGGTACTTAAAAGGGGTGCTTTTATAACTGAAACAAAAGATGATTTTGCTGAAATGGTAAATTGCCATAATCCCACAGTGCAAGAAGCAAGGATTTTTGTGAGTGATATATTTTCCTGAACCAACTGTATAGTTGAGTAGGACACAGACAAGCTTTTAAGTGCTACTGCACCTTTCTTCAGGTGTCTGAAGGGAAAAACCCCAAACAAACCAGAGCTAAATAGCAGGTAGAGCAAAAGCTTGTATGAAACTCCTTGTGTAAATAAAAGCAGGTTATAAGAGACATTATTAGGTAGCTAACAGGTAATTCCAATGTGCTTTTTTAGGAAAGCTGCAAAATAATTCTTCACTCTGAGTGAAGAAAAAGATGTGACCAGATCACAGGGCAGATGTGGTTTTCTCCAAGATGTTGCCTTTCCCTCATATTCCAGTTAAAATTGTAGATTAAGGTGCCTTATTATGGAACTGGAATAATGACTCCATAGCTGAATGGTTTTCATTATAGATGCAGTTCTGAAATCTTCATAACTTTTTTGGGGAAAAAAATTGTTTGCAATTTTTTGAGCTTATGCCTGAGTCAGTTTGGCTTATTTATTACTTCTCAACAGAACAAAGGCACCAGACCATTTTTATTCAGACTAGATGAAAAATAGTGGGGTTGAAAGTGTGGAACTCTGGGAATTCTGTCTCAGTCTTTACAAATATTCTAAACACTTGGGGAAAGGCTTGCAGGCATTTATAAACCATAAGAGATTATCCTTAGAGGTTGAAAGTTCACTGAAGTGATATAGTTGGATACGAAGTAGGAGAATCCCCTTTACCCATCTCATTTTGATAATCTCTCATTACAAAACAAATGACTCCAGTTTAACATCCTTTTCCATGAAATTCAGCATAGCAGCAAATTTCCTGAGGTAGCCTGAAGCCTGTAGACAAAAAGGGAGGAAAAAACAGTTTTCCCTCTCCACTTGTAACAAGTTGCCTGATTTTTGTTGCTCTTGAAATGCATGCTTAAAGCCCTAGATAGCTCCATCTAAGTGTGAACTGTGCAGAAGTTTCAGGAAGCTTAGATTGGTCTAAACATTCCCAACTCTACCTCTGAGGTAGTCTAACTTAAATTGGGTTGGCCATTTTTGGACTGAACTTCTGTATAGTTCCCAGCACAGCCCCAGGGATGGAAAAGACCAGTTGCTGGCCCCAGCCCAGGGGTTGCATTTTTCCTACCCCTTCCCAGGCACCAGACTATTTTTAGTCATACCCCACCTCGCCCTACCCACAGATGGACAACCCCCGTAGCCCGCCAAACCTCCCTTCCTGCAAGCCACTACCAGTGCCACTTGTGTCAGCCTTTACCAATGCTGGGAGCCGAAAAGGTAAGTTGGGGTGGGGGGAGGGTTGGAAGGGATGGGGAAGTAGGTTCGTAGGGGAAGGGGGTGCTGTTTGTCTGGGAATGAGGGGGGTTGAAGGGCTAAAAATAGTCCCTGGTCCCAAGGGCTGGGAGAGAGCCCCCATTTCCCTATGCCGTCCATGGACCCCGCAAGACCCCTGAATCCACCAAACCATCCCAGCCCCCCACCAAAGATCCCACCTGCCCCCCTCCCCCCCTGTCCCCACCCCGATACCCTTGCAGACACCACATGTCCCCTTATCCCCACGCAGACCCTGCTAGCCTCCCTGATCCCTTCTGATCCTATCTCCCCCACAGGCTCCACCTTCCCCCTAATCTAGCCTCCCCATAACCTCCCCAAATGTCTGTACACAGCCACTGTGTTCTCTTCCATCAAGGCTTTATATTTCTTATCTGTTGCTTTCCCTTAACCTGAAATAAGGTCTACGACTGAGATATGTTTGATATCCATATAAGAGGTATAACTCTGTGCATATGGAGAGAGGGGAGGATTCGGTGTCCTGCATCTATTATTTCTCTGGGAGTCCCTTGCTGGCCTGAAATTGACCTGGTTTTGTGCTCCTTGAGAGAGGAAAATTCATCCGGTTTCTGACTGATTCTTACTGTGACACTGAGATTTAAAATTTGCCTTTTGTTGCCATTATGGGGAAGCAGAAGAATTTCTCCCTAAGCCCAACATTTAACTTCAAACAGCCACTGTGAGATAAAGTCTTTGACTGTGTTTTTCTTACAGGTGGATGACACTTTGACTGGCATTTACAAGCGCCTCTGTCTCATTCAGGAGCCCAACACTCGGCAGGAAATGTTGAGGGCAGTGTGTTTCTTGGCTGGAAACAACACCAAGAAAGTGGTGCCTATCCTACTGGCCCACTCACTCCCCTGGGACAGGTACAAAGCTGGTAGTACCTTCACTGCTCAGATTTCTAACTGTATGTTCCTTTAGTCTCTTTGTCCCCAGGTTGTCTTATGCTCATTTTTCTTTGTACTTCCTCTTGTGATAGGCTGCAATTAGAGCTACGTGAAACATAGGATATGATTTTCATTTTTTTTTAAATCATCCAGCATTTAGCAAAATTTGAAATTTTAGTAAAAAAAAGATCAAATATGAATTATTTTGCTAGCTCTCATCGCAATAGATTCATCAATATATTATGAATTCTAATGTGCGGTAACTGCTGATGTTTGTATGGAAATGCTGCAACTGATGTTATCATCAGTAATGGAACTAAACCAATTTTATGGTACAGTAACAAAGAGCGGTGACATGGAACCTTTGTTACCTCTGTTTATTTGGTGAGGAACCCTTCTTTACTAGTCTTGGGTTTCCCCCTCTCTCTTTAAAGAAATAAGTTCAGTATGTTCTAATATCTCTGGTATCTGGCAGGGGGCATTACACTGCCAGGGAGATAGCACATTTAGTGATGCAAGCTCAGAAATAAATATCGGTAGCCTTGGGTCCTTTACATAACCCTGTTGGTGTTCCATTCTTTGACCTTGAGCAAGTCACTGCAAATCTCTATGCCTTGATTACTTCAGCTATAGAATTATGTTTACCCACAGGATCGTGCATGAGTGTTGTGTCACTGCAGCACTTTGAGATCCTTTAATGGAAGTTGTTAGACGTACAGGCCACTGGTTTATTGTACTTCTTCATTCATAGCAACACAACTGCACTATGGAGGGTCCTGGGCACCAGAAGAGAGACCACTCTCTGTGTTCTTCAGCTGCTAATACAAATCTTGGAGGAGAAGCCAGTCCAAAAAGATAACAGCAGTATCTCTGATGATGAGACCTCTCTTCAAGCTGTTGCTGTAAGTAGTATGGTTAGCTACTTTCCATTGACAGTGAATGGTAGAACTGAGGACTCTGTGTAGGGAAGGAAGGAAAAATGGAGACACTCCTTATTCTGACTGAGGCCTAATTATAGGTTATGCTAGCCTTACCTTTCCCTGAGGCCCTGAAAAACTAGATACACTTCCTTTCTGAGCCTTTCAGAGAGGCAATTAGGCACCCTCTGTATTTCATTCTGGAAAAAGAAATGTAACAGGGTTATATTTTACTCTCTCTAGGTAACCTGTGCTCTGTGTGAGATGCTCTCAGTCCCTGGTTGCAGAGATGCAGTGCAAGAACTCTATCCCCGCCTCTTATTGGCAATGCTTGGTCATGTCCAGAAAGTCATAGAGCAGAATCCACTAGAGAACATGGTAGTCTACAGGAAGGAGTGTGGCCAAGAGAACAGGCCCAAGGCATTTGATCCTACCAGGTAAGCACTAAAAAGTCAAGGTTCTCTTTATCTATGTTCTAATGAGCATGGGGAAATCCCTGTGTAGTTTATGATATCTTTGTTGTCATGCAGACATCAGCACTTGCTCAAAAGAGTACAAGGTTTGTATCCATTTAAAAAGAATGGAAAAAATGGATATATACAGAAACTAAATGAGACACATGAGCAGTGACGATAAGAACTATTTCTCACTCAGTCCCTTTCTCATTACTTTTATATTTCTACCTGGTTTTGATAAACAAGTTCCTCTTCCTACTTCTGATCTCTGCATTCCCCTTGTGTTACTACTCCACAGGATGCTGAAGATTGCAGTAAATTATGTGGATTATTTGAGACTTTGGGTTTCTATTGCCTTGCATAGCTACTAGAAGCAGACTGATGTCACTCAGTGGGTGTGTCTACACATTCATTAATGCACCATTACTGCTGCACATTAAGTTTAGTACCTCTAATATGAGGTACTAACTAAGTGCATAGTAGCTGGTGCTACTGTGCAGCAATAATGGTGCCCGGTCTTTTGCAATGTTTAATGAGCAGTAGACTAATTCTACTATGCATTAGTGCATTAGCATAGCTCTTGCTGTGACATGTTAATGCGCAGTAGAATTAGTTTCCTGCACATTAAGTATCTCATGTAGACATGCCCAGTAATGCTAGATTTATTTTGAATCTAGCTGTGCTCTGGAGGCTATGAAGACCTTGCTCTCAGGTGCTGGTTATTTTGAGGTGTTGGCCTATATGGAGGAACACAGAGGCTGGGACCTACTCTCCAGTCCCTGTGACTACTACTGTGGAATAATAGAGATCACAAGGTAAGCAACAAAATCTATGTTATCATCTGGCATGAAGTTCTTCCTAGATTGGGGTCCTTTCCCCAGAGACTTGCGATGCAGCTCATTTTCCCCTTGTTAACCTATGGATTTGCATATGTCCTGTTGCAGTGCCATGGTGAAGCATTCCAGACCCCTTCAGCTGCATAGAATTTTTAAAAAACTGATCCCACTACTCAACAGTGAAAATGAGCATGATAAGGTTATGTCCAGGGCCTTCTATGCACAGGTAAAACTCTTTTCACTGACTTCATGCTTATACCAAAGGTGAAGGGGGTAAAAGCTGTAGAAGGATTCAACAGCAAGGATTATGGGCATGAAGAGGATTCTGTTTCACCAAGGTCGTATTAAATTTCACCTGCAGTTTTCATTTTCCAGTTACCAAGAGCCATTTCTATTAAATGACACCTGAAACAGTGAGAATCACCACTATTTCCATTTCACTAGGCAAGATTTTCTTTTAAGTGTCAGCATGAATCTAATCTCAGAACCAAATGTTTAAGCCAGAGTTCAAACTGGCTGGTTTAAATCTCTGTGGGAGGTATGGACTTTCTATACCTGCAAGAGTTTATTTCCCATAAAAAGGAAATTTAGTTGTGATTATATATGTCCAGAGAATAAAATGAGAAAGGCTGTTATTAACTGCTGATGTCTTTGTTTTGTTTTTCTTGTAGCTTCTCTGGCACCGTTCTGTGGCCCAGAGTCAAGAACTCGACATTTTAGCCCCACTGAAAAAATGGACCCAAGAGACAAATCCTATCATCAAGCTGCTGGGACTCAGAGGAATTAGTAATTTAGCTCTCCACCCAGGGAAGGTGAGAGACAGTTTATTCGATTATGATAGAAACCCAGATAGAAATTATAACAACATAGAATTAAATGCCAACAACTGACTTGAGAACTAAGGTGCTGATACTGGTGGCACTGAAACAGATTAAAACTGAAGTAGATTTGATGATTGCTCAGGGAGAAGAACTTAGAGAAGCTCCAATACAGCCTGAGGCAGAAGAAAAACATATCTTCTGATCATAAAACACACATCAGATATTAGTTAAAACCAGGTGATTCTTTGCTATTGCTGTGGTGATACTGTAATAGCATTCCAGGTTTAATATAAACATTGTTCTAAGATAATATATTATGTAGCAAATTGTTCTGTCCCTGGTAATTATTAAAGAAAATGTGATGAAAAAGTCTATTCATAAATTTACTTGTGACATCTCTAATTAGATTAACTGGTATTTATGGTGTTACATATAACTATTTGTGAATTTGACTGTCAGTACAGAAATACTTATAAATATCATTAAGCTTCCCCACATATAGCCTAGATGTTTCTTACTCATGATATTTGCCACTCTTGATTTGTTAACCTCCTTTAGATAAACTGCCAAAAGTCTGAAAAGCATTTATACAGACAATCCAAGGAATAACAGCAAACGGAGAGTAAACGCCTTTGCAAAAAATCAGAAATAATTTACAAATGATTCATTCATTTAAAAAAATTAAATTAATCATATTTTGGTCTGACTAATGCTATCTTATCAGCTCCAGTAGTGCTTATTTTAAAGAGATGTTGCTGTTGTGCAGGCAACACATCTCAGAAGCCACCTTCCAGCCCTTCAAGAGTTCCTGAAAGAAAAAGATGAGAGGATTGCAGAGCAAGCTTTGAAAGCCCTACGAAATATCATCTACTATATGGAAGGGGAAGAGGCCAAAGCTGCATTTTGCCAAATTGGGAAGTCACTTTGGCAACCAATCACTGATGTAAGGTGATGCTCTGAGTGAGCTACATGTGTGCGCAAATATTGTACAGAGGAGTGAGGTAGCCCCAGAGCACACTATGAATGGAGTGGCTGAAGGCACAGAGCCTTTAGTACTTGTGTAATTCCCATAGCGAAATCAGGTCTATACTGTTCCCTCCTTCCAAGCCCTGTTGATGCTTACTTTCACAGAGCATTATTGTGCCTAGAAGTCTTTGAGAGAGCAAACCCTCAACAAACAGCAGGGCAGTAATTGTGAAAACCCTACCCATTGGAACTGGAATTGTCATCTTCATATGTGATGCATCAATGGAGGGTTGCTTCTTCAGGGCTTTCTTCAGTCTCATCCATAATAATAATAATTATAATATTATTATATAATATAATAAAATAATAAATAAATATAATAATAATATTAATAATATTAATAATAGTAACCTTCCCTTTCCCTTGGAAATCTCAGGGTCCCAAAAGACCTCTGTGTTAGCAAAATCTTTCCAGAACATCAGCATACATTGTCTTTTACTACTTGCACTTCTCTCCCATTGTTCATTCACTGCTTTTCTCTTTATGGACCCAGCATGTTCAAGGTAACCTTTGGGAGGCAAGGAGGAGGAGAGAAAGAGAAAGACTTGACAGGACTGAAAAATGGCCCACTGAAAAATGGTGATGAGGGCATTTTAACTAAAGCTCTTTTGTTCAACAAGCTTTAGTTAAAGTGCCCCCACCACCATTTTGCAGCACGGGGAGGCTGATACCCAAGATACTGCGGGCACTTTAATTAGATCAGCTCTCAAAGCTGCTCTAATTAAAGTGTCCCCCCTGCACGTGTCCCCCCTGCAAGTGTCCTCCCATTACTGGAGCATGTGTATAAATACCCTTGGTTACTGTATGCTCAGAAGCATGCCGCCATTTTGACAGGACTTTCTCCCTAGCTCAGCATGATGAATAATACTTCTTTTGCTCCCTGATAAAATAAAAGAGAAAAGGAGGCCAAAGATTACCTTCACCTCTTCTTCCCTGACTCTATTCTTCCATTGCTTTGACTTCTTTAGACACAGCATTATGCTACACCAAGATGGCAAGGCAGGGCTATTTGTGCATTCATGAGAATGGAGAATTGTAGCAAATTCTTCCCTGAGCTTGAGTCATAGTAGTGTCCTCAGCACTGCTGCACAGCCTTATCAGCTGATTTAGGTAGGATGCACATTGAAAAACTCACCAGAAGGCAAGCAGCAGATTGCAAGAGGGTGACTGTACTGTTCTGAGGAATCTACTTTCTCCCTTCCATTTTCTGGCCTTCTCCATTTCCCCTCGGATATCTTATAATTGCAGTAAAACAGCTGCAGGGTGGTGTGTAAATTAACTGGTAATGACAAGTATCAGGCTGACAGCCTTGGAAACTGAAATTTTCTATTTATGGGGCAAATACAGCATACAATGGCAGCGCAGCAACTGCAGTACTGCTGATTAAGCATGCGTAATGCTCTTTTCTTGCCATTTTATACATCCACAGTTAACATGAATCAGCACTCCTCATATGGTATGTTAGATACTGTCACTTGTATGTTTGGGATGATTACAGTCAGTACTGAAGAAGTGTTTCACTGAGAAGTTCCCTTATCTTCTTTGTTTCATGCACAGGAGAGGGAAAAGGTGCGCATCACAGTCATCATTGCCCTTGGCAAAATGCTGAAACAGGTGAACAAATTTAAGCCTGGGCCTGCTGTCCATTATGAAATTTATTGTGCCCTGGTGCCACTGATGCTGGTCATGCAGGAGAATAAACCTGAGGTACTCAAGGTGAGCCTCCTGGAACTAAGGAAGCTGGGTAAGGAATCTTCAGGGACTCCAGCCAGGAGAATCATTCCCCATGTACCAGTGGGAAGAGCCTGAAATACTTGACATCTTCCTATCCTTGCTTCCCTTATCCTGGGAATCCTCAAGACCTTTGACATTAGTTTCTTTACTACATTGTTATGAGTTTGTTAATATCATCTGCCATCTGCTCTTGCAGTTTCAGCTTTTCCCCTATCCTAATCTTGTAGGCTTGTGGAGACACTTTGGCAGAGTGTGCACTGGCCATGGGATGGACCCAGCTCAGGAACTTATTCAGACACTTGACCCTGAGTGACCATCTTCAGGTCCTGCAAGAGATGTGCAAGTACCTTGTAAGCAGACTCCCAGTTTTCAATGCTGCTGGGGTTGATCTAGTGCTTTGCCCACTTCTGGGCTTTGGAGAAGCTCAGAGGTGTAGTGTAATGATCCTGCCCCTTTCATTTTAGGCTCATTAATAGGACAGTAGGATCTGATATCACCACAGAAGCCCTATTTCATTTTCTTTTTCTTACTCTTTCCTCCAGCAGTAATGCTGCTTGGGAGACGTTCCTTCACTCCATGCAGAAGAATGAGAGGTTTTCTATGAAGGAGAAAGCCCAACCAGTTGAATAATTGCTACCAGTAGTAGCATTTTATAAGCATACCAGCACAACTTGTAGGCACAAATGTGGCATCAGTACCTTCCTGGTTAGGATAAATCCATATCAGTAATGTCAGAGACCCAGTCTTGAAAGGATCATTTAATGCTACAGCTATGTACTCTTGAACATAGATGGACAGTGGACACTTCTCATGTTTAAATCAAAGGTGTTTAATAGTGTCCTTGGATCTAGAAACAGTGGTGGCCAAAGTGAGAAGGAGAGCTTTTAAGATGCATCTTTCATGTATTCTAGGTGAAGAAGTGCAGGAAAATGGTGGGGGACATCTTACTCAAGAGCTTGGCATACCTAAAAAGCCCACAGCACCTTTTACGAGAGGCAGCAGTCAGATTTATAGGTAAACAAAATGAAATATGTTTAGATTTCATAACAAATTCCCCCACCACCATTTTTTTGCTGTGTTTCAGCAGTGATATCCCTAGCTGACAGAATTGCCCCCTTGGTGCTTAAGTTAATAAACTTGAGTCAGACCTAGGGTCTGCACACAAAAAAAGTAAATGCTATCCTAAACTAACCCCTACACAGTCTCTGTCTAGGGCAGGGGTGTCAAAAGTCATCAGGCCTCATGGACTAGATAATGGTGTGGGGCCAGTCCATGGACTGGTTTGGAACTGCAAACCAGTGCTGTTTACCAGATTCAGTAGGTGGGGCTGGTCTGATGTGAGCACTGCATGCCCCTCATACCCCAGAATGGCTCAGTGCACTGTGTGCAGCATCTAGGGTCAATGCAGCATGCACTTCATGTGGCATATGGGTCTATTCCAAGACCACAGGCTGGATGACAAGGCTTTGTAGGCCAAATTTAGGTTTTTGACACCCCTGATTTATGGAAGTTCTTGTCCTCTGCTGACCCAAGAGAATCCCTCTGTTTTCTTTCTCCTATATCGCTCCCCATACCTTTTCTCTTTTGTGGATGATCCTGTGGGAATCCATGTGTAGACTAGACTCTCATCAGGTATAAATGGGCACAGCTTCACAGAAGTTATTTTCCCCTAGCTCAGGGGTGGGCAAAATGTGACCTGTGTGCCAGATGCAGCCCTCCAGGCCATTCTATCCAGCCCGCAGGGCCCCTAAACATTTTAGAAAATTAATATTAATCTGCCCCTGGCTCCCTGTCATGCGGCCCTCAATGGCTTGCCAAAACTCAGTAAGTGTCCCTCCGCCTGAAATAATTGCTCACCCCTGCCCTAGCTGCAGATCTGGCCTGTGGAGATACTAGTTCCTTAGGAGCTTCTTGGGAAACCTGGAATTGTGGAGATCTGTCAGATTTCCTGAGGATCTATCTTGCTGTCTTCTTCATTTGATAAAATAATGAAATCTTAGAAGTTTAGTAAAGTACCTGTTTTTTGTTTTTATTGCACATCAGCATACACAGTAAAGAACATGAATTTAATTCAAGTGGACCACGATGATGTGATGCTAATGCTCAATGGTAAGGAATTGCTTGTTATTCAGGAACATTTGCAGTCTGTAGTATGTCTGCATAGATATTTATTAAAGGTCCTCTTCCACCTCCACTCCTATGTACTTTGTTCATAGAGGATTGTATAGAAATGGGCAGAGTAGGATAAATTCTAAAATAAAAACATATGTAGTTAAAACACTAGGCTGGGGAGGTGGGAGGAGAGAGGGGAGTGGGAAGAAGGAAGAAAGAGAGAGAGAAATCCTTTTTAACTATTTGTTACACCTGTATTCACTTACAACTATTGCTGAGCAAAATATACTACAGTATTGGTATTGAATAGCTTAAATACCAATAAATAAATGTTGTGTTTCCTATTCCTTGAAAATTGTTCATGAACAGGCTTAGATTATGTTCAATTTTTTTCATTAATCAACAACTGGTTGAAGATCTCTTTTTGGGAACATGATTCAGCCTATGGCAGGGGTGGGCAAAATGCAGTCCGCGGGCCAGATATGGCCCGTCAAGCCATTCTATCCAGCCCATGAGACCCCTAAAAAATTTAAAAATTAATATATATCTGCCCCTGGCTGCCTGTCATGCAGCCCTCCATGGCTTGTCAAAACTCAGTAAGCAGCCCTCTACTCAATGTAATTGTCCGCCCCTGGCCTATGGGTTCTCTTTGATCTACTGAGTTTGTTTGTTGGAAGGAAAAGCAAGGAGTGGCTTGATTATTTGGTATTTGTCATGTATGATTACTCAATTAAATTGTATGGTGCTGTTTTTGCTTCCTGAGTGGAAGACTGAAATGTCTGTAAACTGATGAGAGGACATCAAATATTTCAAGCTACCCATGCAAACACTTGCAGTGTGAGCTTTCCTGTGATTGCTTATTCTTATAGATTTCATAGACCTTAGGGCTGGAAAGGAACTCGTAAGATCATGGGGTCCAGTCCCCTGCCCAAGGGGCAGGAAGTCAGCTAGGGGCAAAGGATCCCAGCAAGATGAGCATCCAAATGTTTCTTAAAGGTGTCCAGAGTAGGTGCTTGCACCACCTCTGGGGGTAGTCTGTTCTAGGCCTTGGGGGCTCAGGCAGCAAAGAAGTTTTTCCTTATGTCTAGCCTAAAATGGCCTTGCAGGAGTTTGTGACCATTGGACCTTGTCATCCCTTGGGGTGCTCTGGTGAACAGGCATTCTCCCAGATCCTGATGCACACCCCTTATGTACTTATAGGCTGCCACCAAGTCACCCCTGAACCTGCACTTCTCCAGGCTGAAGAGTCCCATAGCTCACAGCCTCTCTTCATAAGGCCTGTACTCTTACCCTCTGATCATGCGCATGGCTCTTCTCTGGACTCTTTCAAGCTTCTCCACGTTCTTCCTAAATTGTGGAGCCCAGAATTGGATACAGTACTCCAGCTGCAGCCTCACCAAGGCCAAGTACAGTGGGAGGATGACATCCTGGGTCTTGCTTGAGATGCATTGGTAAATGCAAGCTAGAGTTTTGTTCACTTTGCTAGCTGCAGTATCACATTGGTGGCTCATGTTCATCTTGTGGTCAGTTGTGACCCCCAAGTCTCTTTCGGTCATGGTGCTAGTGAGTGTAGCACTGCTATAAGTATGATGCAGGTTTTTTCCCCAAGGTGGAGCACCTTGCATTTCTCCGTGTTGAATGCCATCAGGTTTTCATCCGCCCACCTTGCAAGCCTATTGAGACTGGCCTGGATCACCAGCCTATCCTCAAATATGGACACTCTTCCCCAAAGTTTGGTGTCCAAACTGACGTGAAGGGGGAGGGAAGTGGAGGAGAGGGGAAGGGAGGTACTGCTGAGCACAGAGGGGAGGGAGGAGGGAATTTTTACCCAATTCAGGGACTTAAAAAAGTACCTGGCTGCTGCTCCCACAGTCTAGTCAACTGAAAGCGGAGGGGAGGGGGTGTCTGCACCAATGCACCCCCTCTGGACCTGTCTTTGGCTGGATTAGATGGTCTTGTCCCTTCCAGCCCTACTGCCCTATGTTCCTATGAAAGCACATTTCAGCATATTCTAGAAAGCAGTCCTGATACCAGGGATTATGGACACCAAAAAAAATGTTTGTGAAGTCTCATTGCCATATGTACTTCTACTGCTAGTTAAATGTATATCTAACATTATGCAATATGTGCAACATGGTGAGATCATGAGAATCATAGAGGAAAATTTAGCTCTGTTTAAGTCAATGGTAAAATATTGAAATGTCCAGTTAAATGTCCTGACTCTAGGTGTAATGTGCCTCTTCATTTCCAAGGGATAAAGACAGAAACGGTTATGGAAATGGAGGAGTAACACAGTTACAGGCTCCTCTTTCTTGCTTATTTCTGTGTAAGTGACTGTGCTACAAATGTGTTGCATTGTGCTTGTGGGTCAGAAAGAAGTGTGTTGAGTCTGAGAAGAGGCCTGGCTAGAAAAAACAGCAATTCTTCTGGCAATGCTGCATGAAATATCCAAGCAGCATTAACTCCTATGTGGTGCTTGCACCTTTGATCCCCAAAGCAAGCCTTTGTGAATGGAGAAAGATCAGTTGGTTCATGGCTTTAGCAAGGGTCATGTTGCTAGGTGAATAAAGAAGCAGGGGATATGCCATAAAGGGGAACAGCCCCATGTTATCTAAAAGTTTTTAAAGCTTTTTATTTGCTCTCTGAGACTCAATCTCCCTCTTCTAGAGGGGACTCTGAATTGAAAGTCTTACTTAGACTTTTCTCTTATCCCTTAGCCTTCTGCCAGCTTTTCTGTAAGAGCAGAAGAGGCATTTAATACATTTTGCAATTAATTCGTGTTGATGAAAAATGCCAAATCACCCTTGGATGCCCCAGATATTTGAAATATTCTTATTAGTCTACTGAAAAAGACTTAGGATAGATAGTAACAGTACGTTACTTTTTATTACCTCATCAGTATGTCTCAGCCTGAGATGGACAGCCCCTAGGGATGAGGAAAGAGTATGATCTCCATCGCCTGCTCTCTTTGGAGTATGTGTAGAGACTTTCTAGAAAGGGTGCAGATTTCTGCTTACTAGTATTTGCAATATGCTCACTAAGATAGTGGATCAAAACTGTAATATTTTTATTATAAATAATTCCTATTTTTTTACAATAAATCACCAAAACAGATCACCTTCATGCAAGACTTCAACCAAAGTATGTAATATATCATTAGAAAGACTTGTGGAGGAGGGCCAACTTTTGCCAGTTTTTCTTAAAAAGGTGCTAAGGGAAATTCTATGTATTGACAGTTGCTGCTTACTTCAGTGCCAGGAAAAAATTATCAGAAAATTGTTACATTTATAAAGCACTTAGAGTAGTGATATACAGGTAATATAATATAACACCTGTAAGGGTAAATGATACCCATCTAAAATGGTAGAATTGCTTGAAAGTGTTAATAAAATAGTGGATAAAATGGAAATAACTAAATAAACCTGCTTAAGCTTCCCTAAAGATTTTGATAGTGGGAAGTAAATTTTTGACATATATTTATAGAAGAGGAAGCAATATGAAAAGCAAGCTGGGGTCGGACAAAGATCAGTATTGGGGCCTATTTTCATTTTATTTACTACCCACCTAGCAGAAGGGATGAATAGTGATATGCTGAAGCTTTCTGGTGACCCAGTTCTTTGGGTTAATGAAGACCAGAAAGCACTACCAGGAATTTTTTTTTTATAAGACTAGAACATTGGGCAGTGTAATGTTGGAGAAAATTCAGAAAAGGTAAAGTGCTCACAATGAAGGGTTCTGAATTGGCCAGAACCTCTCAGAAAATAAACATAGATATCATTATGAACTCATCAGTGAAAACTTAAATCTTCAGTAGACATACCAGTCAAACAGTAAGTAGGCTGCTCAGATAACAGGGTTATTTTAACGCCAGTGTCCTGGCCAAATTTCAATGGGAACAACTTCTTTCAGTCTATCTGAATCCTCTGTGGAGTTGCAGTAGGGTAAAGATCCCAAATTGTGTGTAGTGTTAATAGCTGATACATCAAGTGGATGAAATAATCTTGGAAGAGCTGAGTATTAAGTTAAGTTCATAAAGTTCTTTTGAATCCTTCAGGATGAAAACTTTTATATAACTAAAAGGGACCTAATTTTGTTTTCACATATGCTAGGCGAAAGTCTGTTAAAGTCAATGAGCAAGATCCTCTGGTCTAGTTGATTTGTAATTGGCACAGGACTGGAGAGTGGGTTAGACTATTTCTGATGTTCCCTGTTTCAGGGCCACTCTGAACTGGATTCATTCCCCGTATCCCGAACGTGGTCTCATGTGATGTCGATCATGTAACATTTCCTTTTCTTGTGCCCCTTTGCTGAGATGTGGCCATAGCATCATATCAGTGCACTGATTCTCTGTCATCTGGGAATTTGTCCTTCACTTGGGGAAGTGTTCAGGAAACCAGTTAAGCCACCTTTGTGCCCCTTTGCCAAGCAAGGGTACCACGGTATAGCCAAAGTTGAGTGTAAGAAGAGTGTACGATTAGAATCAGACTCAGAATATTATTTCTTTTAGGATATGCTATTGCACACTTCCGTAAAGGCCTACTGAGTTTTTTATTTTGCTTTTCTCTGAAGCATCACATACCAGCCACTGCCAAAACAGGATACTGAACTAGATGGCCCATTACTCTTTTTCCAGTATGACAGGTTTTATATGCATAACTCATTTCACCTAGTTATCCAATAGAAAAGCCTTTCAGAAATGTTGGGTCCAGGTTGAATCTGAACCAGAGATTTACAGATGAAAGACTCCATAGACCATTTCCAGTCCCCAGAACTGAGCAGTCTTTATGTCTATTTAAATTGAAGAGTCAGTTCAAATGAGGTTTATAAAATAAATTAGAAATGGAGAAGAGAGACCTTATTTCGTGATCAGAATGCAGGATTGTTCTTTCACTGAGTTGTGTAATAGCAATAGTATCTCCAGCCCTTCTCTGCAACAGAGCCTATTTAATAATCTTTAAAATGTCACTATTTACATATTTTTCATATCTGGCTTACATCTTTATACCCTTAATTTCATCCCAATACACCTAGTTACAACCCTTTAAAATCCATGTATAGATGAGAATTGAGGACTTGTGGAATGGAATTTAATTGTTCCTCATCTATGACATTGATTGTGGTGATTGTATTCTTTGTGACGGGTAGGGCAGAAAGCTAAGTCTTTGTCCTGGCACATAAAGTACATTAGAAAATATACTTTTGGGACTTCTGTTCCTGGGGATATGAGAGGTGCCCAGGAAAAGGCATAAGATAATGATGCCCAGAGGAAAATAATCTTATTGGTACTGTACATTGACTTGAATCCATTATGTTTTCAGCTCTTGGTGATCTCAGGTTTGACCCTGTAGACTCTGTGTGTGCTGCAGCCTTAGAAACTATAACAAGCATTGAGGCAGCCTGTTCACCTGAAGCAGAGCCTCCCTACACATTGAGAAGAATCTGCTTTCAACCTGTCCAGAGAAAGGAGAAGATTTTTAAATGCAAAGAAATTCAGCATGCTCCAAAGCAAGCGAGGGGGAAAATTGCCCCTGAAGATACTGTAAAAACAGGCCAAGAAGAAAGGAGGAAAAACTGAACCTCTGAGGTTTACTTGGAATCTGAAAACCAGAGGCCTTACAGATTATGGTTTGTCTGCTAGTGATCAGAATAGAATCCTTGATTTTAGGGATATAACATCATGTGGACAGGATGGATGCAAGCACATAGGTTGCTTGTGTGCTGAAGAAGAAAATGCTTCTCTCAGCTTTAAGCCTGCTTGTACAAACAACTAACAGCACAGAAACAAATTTTTGCAGGTGAACTGTTATGCATAAAGAAAAAATACTGTTTGTGCTTTTTACAGTTCCTTTAGGATGTATCAAAACTGCCTTGTTTGATGAACATCACGCCCATGGCAATCGGAAGACCTGAAATGGGAAGCCTTCCATTGCCTGTCCTATAACTGATGGTTGGAAGTGATGAACTGTGGACTGGAAATGCCATTTGTATCTTCCATATTCACTCTCTAAGAGTATCCAAGATCCCACTCTCCATATGCACACTTTTGTCTAATCTACTCTATTCATGCAGGCAATAGACCCCACAGAACTATTTCGCCAAAACAAATGAGAACATTTCTTATTTGCCACAGAGACGGCAGACAGCTTGCCTGCAAAATATTAGTTCTTCATGCATACCCAGTGATTTAAATTGTTAATTTATGATGCCAAAGTGAACACAGATATGGAACAATGGAATCTCAATTATGAATTTCCTTGCTTTCAAAAGTTTGTCCTTAGGTAAATATGAAGTTATTTTCTATTACTAGATATTTCCCTATCAGCATAATTCTCAACTTCTTCTTCTAGATATAAAATGGATGTGACTAAAATCTTAGCATCTGTCAGTCCATAGGACTTTTGTTTAGCATTGTTTTCATATACATGTATGCATGCCCATGCACAGGGCATACAGAATCATGAGTGAGTCCACTTCCTGGATGAGCCCTATCTTCCTTTGCTCAAGCTCATGTAGTGTTCAGTGCCAGCAGAGTCTGCCTATTATAAGGAGTGAGGATCATAAGTCACCATGTTATATCTAAATGCTATTCTACATAGTAGTTCACGTCATACCTTAGGTGTTCTACTCTAGGAATTCTACTCTGTATTCTTCCTTCTACCCAGGAAATGTAGGAAATGTTCAATTATTTTTAAAATGTGCATAAGCCATGACGTGTTCTGCTCCTGTTCTGAGTTTTGGTCTTACATGAGGTTCAGACTTTGGAGTGAATTACAAGATTTGCTCAGTAGTAAATGTGCCAGAATGTAGGAAAAACTGCATTATATTTTGTTGGTTGCTAATCTGTGACTGAAATGGACATTGGTGCCGCTTATCACGTGCACTCTCCAAATTGATAGCAGCAACTATTCACATTAATCAGAGCTACTTTCCTTGCTTCACAGTTGCTGCAGCCACACATGAAAATAAGAAACTGATCATGTCAACGACTCTGCAAGCCTTCCAGCAGCTTTTAAATGAGTGCAAAAGCAGAATTACCCAGAGCAGCTGAAGAGGAAAGAGGTCAGGAGATTGTTTCCTCTGGTTTGCAGAGGGGCATTCCAATCTGACTGACAAAGCAGAAGGAGAAAGATTGACAAGTTCAGGAGGGAGATGCAGAAACAGATGCAAAGGACAAGGGAAGTGTCAACCTGAGGCTGTTTTTTCAGAGAACAACACGGTATAACGAGAGAGGACTAAAGTGAGATAGAGCGCAAACAGGACAAAAAGAACTGAAAAAGCAGACTGGGATCTTTCTCTACACCTTAGAGGTACCAAGGATATAGTGAGCACGGATATAGCCTGTCACTGTACCCAAGCATTGTCTCCCATCAACTTTACTCTCATTGCTTTCATTTTGATGATTCCTACAATTTGTACCTTCCTTCTTTCAGAACTACGCCTACCTCCACCCTGATTATGTTTGCCTTCCCCATGGGTAGTAGGGAGAGAATGAATTTTCCTGCATCTGGCTTGCATTGTTTGCTAGAGTTCCTTAAAGGCAGCTTGTTTATTTTAATCTGATGCTCTGATACCATTTTTCTAGAATGATTATCCTCCTGTGAATGAGTTTAAATGTCCAAAATTATCAATGAAACAGTTCAAGAAAAAGTTGTTTCTCTGTTGCCATTATTTTTAATTACTCCAATCTTCATTTCCATCCCAGGGCCCTGTCCTGGTACTACTCCAAGTCAATAAAGTCAGATGATGGAATGACAGTAAGAGTAACAGGATACCCTAATCAGACTAACTTTCCTGTTGTTGACAGGTGTGGTACATTCCTGAAAACCCAAGGGTATTCACTCATAACATTCTGCATCTTGCATTACTTCTGCAGTAAGTTATAGATGACTGTATACACAGTGACATTAGGGTTGTCAATGAGAATACAACCCAGACCTTTCAGTACTAACCTACTTGCCTCACTGGAACCTGTCAGACTTGGCAGGTGTGCAGTTAAAGGCACAATGGGATATGATGTGCAGTCCCTACAGTTGTATTTCCTGCCATGTCACACGTGAATGGCAGGAGGTGTGGTTGTGGGATTGAGCATCAGATCCCATCATGTCATATTGCTGGTCCAGGGGGAGCTTGGGATCCTAATCCATGATGCACCTCCATGGCTGGGAGCCCAGATCAGCTGATGGGGCTCCCAGGCATATGAACATATGGTGCTCCCCCATGACTGGGAGCCTGGATCAGCTGCTGTAGCCAGGGGGGTGTACTGGAGCCAAAGGCTCTGATACCACTCTGCAGCTGGGATCTGCAGCTGATCATGGCTCCCCCCCCCCCGGGGTCATGTCAGACCGCTCATCGGGGCCCCCAGCCTCAGGGGTTCATCAGAGCCCTTGGCTCCAACAGATCCCAGAGGCTGGGAGCAGCAATCAGCTGACTGCACTCTGTCTTAGGAGCATATGGGAGTCATGGGGTCCCATGTGCTCTGGAGGCTGGGAACCCCAGTCAGCCTGGTGTGATAAGTTAAGTTAACGGTGTAATAGGAGCCAGCCATAAAGTTATTACACATACTTTGTGACTGGAGTGACTGCACCTTGGTGTCAAAATTCATTAGACACCTCACTGTGGCTGAAAAGATCTCTAAGCTTCCGGACTTCAGCTCCTGTTCATGATCAGAAGCAATACAGATCAACAATTAATTCTTTCCAGGCTTTGTTGCCATCCAAATCCATCTGAGAGGTATCTAAAGTTTACTTAAATCCCCAGTTCCACAGAGCATGCCTAGCGACTGTTTGACACTGAGGGTATGTATGCTGCTTGCTAGAAAATACAGATGGAGGAAGTGATTGTTCACCCAGGAAGTGAGAAAAACCTGACTTCTAAGTTCTCCTCAGTCTGAGGATACTCCCATTTCCCAGAAGAATGCCCTAATTACCGGGATGTGGGCTAGCCTGGGCAGACTTCTACCACTGCTCTTCAAACTGGGTCACTCGTGCAAGAGTCATGGGACCAGAGAGACAAGCAAGAAGGACCTGATGCTGTGGCCTAGTGATGTAGCTGCTCCCTTGGAAGTGGAGAGTCCTAGGTTCTGATTCCTACTCCCAGGGTTATTTCTGCTTTTAAGATTTAATGTAAAAAGCACAAGCACTCCTGGGAGGAGAGACTGAACCCAGGCCTCTTCTGCAAAGGGAGTGCCCTCCTCAGTGGGCTACAGAATCACTCTCCTTCTTGCTGACTCCTTGGACCATTTAGTCACTTATTCTGAGCCACCACTGCCTGATGTCTGAGAAGAAGCCATACTGCTGAAGGGGAAATGCAACTACTCCCCTCAAATCCACCCTGGTTCTGCCCAACCATAGTTAGTTAACACCAACACCTTATTATTTCAGTGGGATGCTAGCTGACTATAGGCAAGTCAGCTCTAATTAAATGGCAAAACATCTGTTACTTTAAGAACTATTAAGCGCTTCCCAAAACAAACAGTTATGCATACTTGGCTTAGCCTAATATTAGTGGCTTTGATAAACAGATTTTTATTCTGCGTTCCCAAGCTACTGCTTATGGGTAGTGCAAACTTATTGATTATATCAAGCTTAAGGACATACTCTTTATAACTTAGGCTTTTTCTAAGTCTGCAGTCTGCAGCTCTCAGTGTGGTCTGTCAGTCACTGACCATGCCCACAGCCTACAGGGCCTATAAGGTTGATTTGGATTTGGCCCTCAGTTCCTGTCTGCTCAGCTGAGCAGGTATCAGGTCTGCTCTGTGTCATTAATTAATCTTAACGTTGCCCCTCGCTGACTTTTATTTGCCTTCAAATTGTAGGAACTTTTTCTACTGATTTTCTTCAAATGGCACATTCAGCTCTTTATCTAACTTCTTTTCAATATCTGCATTGATTCAGCTGTATTGTTGTCCCCAACGGACAGTGTGAGTTCGTGCCCGGTGCGCTATTGCCAATGAACACACAGGGGTGGAGGATTCAACTTAATCTTTATTGTTTCCAGTCTGCGCAGAGAGGGGTGCTTGGCAATCGTTTGCAAAGCAAGCACCACCGGTTTCTACCTTTGGGTACCTTTTATACATATGTTTGCAAGTGTATCGCTCAGTGATTGGTTACAAGCCACTGACATAAGACGTTCTCTACTGAGCATGTCTCTATACCTATGTTTTAGCCATGTATTTCATTTACATACATATATGTTTCATTAACATACTTTTGCCCTGCCCAGGGGTGTGATTTTTAGCATTATAATGAGACCTTTTTCTGAACTTCTTGCTATCTTACAAGTGTCAGGGAGACATTATCCTGCTAGTGTTAGGGAGGCATTCCAGGAATCCTCCGCATCCCACACGCTGTGCTCTGCAAGCATCTCTTAACACACACATGCCACACCCCTCCCAGCATCAGTAAGTTGCCTTAAGTAGTCAGTTAGATATAGTTTGCAAAAGCTAGATATACCATAAAAAAGATTACATAAAAAGATTACATCAGTATGAGGTACATCTCTTGTAAAAGAACACATACACCTGAGAAACAATCCCTAAGGGGAAGTAGGAGAGAAGTATGTTTGGGGAATAGGAAG